TTTCTCCCCTTCCTTCCTTTCTCTTTCTTCCTCCTTTCTTTCCCTTTCCCCTCTTTCTCTTCCTCTTTTCTCCCCTTCCTTCCTTTCTCTTTCTTCCTCCTTTCTTTCCCTTTCCCCTCTTTCTCTTCCTCTTTTCTCCCCTTCCTTCCTTTCTCTTTCTTCCTCCTTTCTTTCCCTTTCCCCTCTTTCTGTTCCTCTTTTCTCCTTTCTTTCCCTCCTTTCTCTTCCTCCTTTCTTTCCTCCTTTCTTTCCCTTTCCCCTCTTTCTCTTTTTTCCTCTTTCCCTCTTTCTTTTCCTTTCCTCTCTTTCCTTTTCTCCTCTTTCTCTTTCTATTTTCTCCCTTTCCCTCCTTTCTCTTTCTTCCTCCTTCCTTTCCTCCTTTCTTTCCCTTTCCCCTCTTTCTCTTTCCCTTTTCTCCTTTCTTTCCCTCCTTTCTCTTTCTTCCTCCTTTCTTTCCCTTTCCCCTCTTTCTCTTTCCCTTTTCTCCTTTCTTTCCCTCCTTTCTCTTTCTTCCTCCTTTCTTTCCCTTTCCCCTCTTTCTCTTTTCTCCTTTCTTTCCCTCTTTCCCCCTTTCTTTCTCTTTCCCCTCTTTCTCTTTCTTCCTCCTTTCTTTCCCTCTTTCCCTCTTTCTTTCCCTTTCCTCTCTTTCCCTTTCCGTCCTTCCTTTTCTCCTCTTTCTCTTTCTATTTTCTCCCTTTCCCTCCTTTCTCTTCCTTCCTCCTTTCTTTCCCTTTCCCCTCTTTCTCTTCCCATGTCTTTTCCCTTCCCTTCCTTCCCCCCTTTCTTTCCCTCTTTCCCTTTCCCCTCTTTCTCTTTCTCTTTTCACCCTTTCCTTCCCTCTTTCCCTCTTTCTTTCTCTTTCCTCTCTTTCCGTTTCCGTCTTTCCTTTTCTCTTCTTCCTCTATTTTTTCCTCCTTTCTTTCCTTTTCTCCCTTTTCCTTTTTCTCTTTCCCTTCCCTTCCCTCCTTTCTTTCCCTCTTTCCCATTCCCCTCTTTCTCTTTCCCTTGCCTTTTCTTTCTGCCCCTTCCTCTTCTCTCTTACAATCTTCCCCTTTCTCTCTTTCCCTTTCCTTCTTCCACTTTCTCTCTTTCACTTCCCCTCTTTCTCTTCCCCTTGTCTTTTCTCTCTTCCCCTTCCCCTCTTCCCCTCTTTTTTTCACTCTTCTCTCCAGAACAGGAGGATGAACTAGTTTGAGGGGAAGCTATTTAATTGAATAAATTTCTGTATGTTTAGAGTGAAGATTGGGCCTTCTTCTTTCCTTCTTTAGTCCATTTATGTTCCGCCTTTCCATCAAGAGGCAACTGGGAAGGCCGCAAATAGGATAGAATAATAGGATGGGAAGGGACCTTGGAGGTCTTCTAGTCCAACCCCCTGCCCAAACACCCTACCATTCCAGACAAATGNGGGGGGGGAGAGACAGAGAGAGGGAGGAAGTCTTTTATGCCTCTTTCCTTTCGTTGGATTTATATTAACTGTCCTTTCTAGTCCTAGACACAGTCCTGAAGCCTCTGGAGAAAAAAATGACCCAATGTGCAAATCGGAAGTCCGTTCCCAAACTTCCGGTTTGCGTGTTGGGTTGTTTTTCGCCCTCCGGAGGAAAGAGGGAAAATAGCCAAAAATGAAGGCCAAAAGTCAGTTGGCCAGCGCGCGCATGCACACTAGAGCTGACAGAACAACGCCTTGCGTGCCCTAGGGAGTGGCTCTGCGTGCCACCTGCGGCACGCGTGCCATAGGTTCGCCATCATGGCTCTAATCAGTTTATACTGTAATGCAATTATACCTGTAATGGAAGACTTGTAATGGAAAATTATTCGCAGGGAAGTGGAATATAACCTGGGCACATATATTTTGAGAATTTGTTTTAAAAAGAGCATTACTTAAGCATCTAGTAATAGTGTTATAGGAAAAATAATTCTAAGTAGCACTGCTTCCTAATCAATTCTAAAAATCACGATTAGACTGGGATAAATCATATCTAAACAATTGGACTTGGATGAAGGAAAACATGTCCTCTACTTATAACTATTTGTTTAGTGGCCGTTTGAAGGTATAACTTCACTGAAAAAGTTACTTATGACTGTTTTTCACGCTTATGATTGTAGCAGCATCCCCATGGTCATGTAATCAAAATCTGATTGCTTGGCATATTTTCATACTTATGATGGTTGCAGAGTCATGGGGTCATGAGATCACCTTTTGCAACTTTCTGGCATGTGATCACTTTTGCAACTTTTTGACAAGAAAAAATGGGGAAGCCAGATTCAACCATGTTACTAACGTAACAGCTGCAATAATTCACTTGACTACTGTGACAGGAAAGGTTGTAAAACGGGGCAAAACTCACTTAACTATTATGTTACTTATAAAGAGAAATTTTGGCTAACTTGTGATTGTAAGTCGAGGACTACCTTTACTTCAAAGGCAGAATATGCCAAGAAATGTCAAATTCAATTCTTGAAGTTCTCTGGGTAAGATTGGGTAGACCTTGTTCGAAATCTGCCAGTCAGTGTAGATAATACTATTGGGCAAGATAACCCCAAAGACAATTTTCTTTATTCCCTTGAGGAGGATTGTGGTTATGACTAATAATTGAGATAGTGGGTCTAAACAGTGTAAAAAAGTTGTTAAGTTGTATTTATTTCCCCTATCAATCTGAAGTCAGGAAAGAACTATTAAAAATACATAGCAAACATAGCCTCCAAGAGCTCCAGGTGGCTGAATCCCTACTTCTCAAAGAGTGAAAAGACAACAGGAATTCTTGATAATCCTGGCTTGTTAATTGGCCCTAAATTTACCCATCTTTCTAGTCATCTTTACCCTTTACATGTTTAAATGTAACGAAATGGCACTGAGAAAATTGCTATTATAGCCAGATGATGCTGTTATGCTACAATAACAAATTATAAAAATATTATAGATTCAAGAAAACAGACTTGAATTAGTGACTCTGAAAACAGCGTGCAGCTCACATAAGCAGAGCAAGCTTCCTATTACACATGTGCCTCATAAACATGAATTAGTAATTTTATTATTAATTTTTATTTTGATATTTTATTGTGTGCATTTGCAAATGCAGCTGAGAGATGCCACAGAAAAGCATGGAATTTAACAGCTTTCTATGGATAGATAGATGATGGTTCATTTTACCTGTTCATTAATACTTAGTCTCTTATGTCTCTATAGAAAGGGGGAAAACATTGTCAATAGTTATATTAATAATGGCATCAGTCTGAATATGGGCAGTACAATGAGTGCAACCTGCAAGTTACTACTATCATTTCAGAGATATATCATAAGCACTCTTCTTTTACGAAGTATTTTTCCCTTTTAAAAATACATTTTAAAATTTAATACATTTTAAATTTCCCTTTTTCAGTTGGTAATGCAATATTAAGCACTACTCCAGAAAGCCCATCAGTTTGAAGAGACTGTGATCAACGGTGGCATTCTAATAGCATCACTGTCACTACTTCAATTTTTTACACACATTTCACAAGTCCTTGGGTAAATAAATTTGGTTTAGTGGTTAAGGTACCAGCCTAAAAACCAGGAAACTGTTGAAAGCTGGCTGGGTGACTCTTGGCCAGTCACTACCTCTCAGACAAACTCAGTACACATGGTTATTGTGGTGGAGGAAATAGGAAGAGGAAAAAGCATGAGCTATGTTCACCCCCTTGAGTTATTTATAAAAATAATAAAAATGGAATATAATAATAAATAAATAATAAATAAAAACCTATGACAATGTTGGTGGTGGTGGATGCCAAAACTAATATACAATCCTGGAAGCCCAGGAAAGATATATGCAAAAATTAAGCAGTTCTTAGGTCAAAATTACTGATGGGTTGTGACCACCATAAAGTACGTTTTCTGTCTTAAGGTGTTTAAAGAAAGCTGTGGTGGTGCAGTGGTTTAGAATGAGTATTGCAAGCTAATGCTGTCCAAAGCCCTGAAGTTTCGATCCTGATTGGCTTAAGGTTAACTCAGTCTTCTATCCTTCCAAAATGGCTAAAATGAGGACAGAGATTGTTGGGGGCAATATATTGACTCTGTAAACTGCTTAGAAAGGGCTGTAAAGCACTGTGAAGTAGTATATAAGGCTAAATGCTATTACTATTGCTTAAAGCTAAGCAAAGAGGAAACATGTGTTTACCTGTTTCATTTCACTCTTCAGTCTTGTAATGCCACTTCTTTCTGTCTTTGTTGCTCCAGTGTGATCGACTTCATGGATAGATATAGCAGGGCTGGATGTAGAAGAATCAAGAGGACGCACTAAGGATGGAGAAGAAAGAAAGGTGCCAAAAAAACTGTTTAAATACACAAGAGGGTTTTTTAAAATAAGAAAACAAGAATTGTGTGTGTTTGTGTGTGTGTGTGTACACGCGCATATGTGCATATATTACTGCTCCTTTCGACTCCAAATTCTTTTCCACTGAGAATATGATGAAGGAGATTTTTCATATCAAAGGGGCTCAGATTCATTAAGCTTTCAGAGGCTTCTTCACCTGTAGAGGAACAAAATAAGACCCTAAATTTCAAGGGCAAGTATAAACTGAATGAAAACATATTGTCAAGATCATTCATTTTGCAGGGATAAAGTTGTTATTGCTCAGCTTAGTAAAGGTATGATGAACACTGTTGTCAGTCCCTTATCATGTAAAAATAAATAGCTAGTGCAATTGTTTTCAGGAAGATAATTATAACATTTTTTTCATGTTATCCTGTCTATAATTCCATCATCAAAAAATATCATGTTATGCCCATGAAGCAAAGTACTAATCTTCCCGCTCCCTTGACTCAAATCCATATCTCAAAAGAGTATTTCACTTTTAACACCTAGAGCTCATTTTTTTATTTAGCTATATAACAAAAATATTTCCTGTACTGAAGCTTTTCTTGGACTGCTTCAGAAGATGGAATTTGGGATACATAGTATCATCCACATATGTCCCAATGAAAACTATTTAACTTGACTGTTTTATTACACAATCTGTTGTAGTCTTTGTCCACCACGAGAAGCTATGAAATACTGGGACAAGTAGCCAACCAATGGATTTTTCTTTTCTTTTTCATGGTAAAAATATGAAACAGACATGATGCATAGAATAGCTTTTCTCAAATTGGTTCTCTCTTATGTATGGATTACAAATTATTTCTAGTTATGCCTTGCTATTTGGGAATTAGAGAAGCTGTAGCTTGTGGAAGGTAATATCTGGTTGCAAAGATTCTGCAAAGGGAAAAAATAATAATAATTGAGCTTGTAATCCTGTGCATGGTAAATCCTCTCTAGGGGATATGAGGTTTTATCTCCTTAGAATTTCAACACAATTCATTAATGCATTTAGCAGCAAACTCATCTGGATATTGAAAAAGAAGCCATATTCTCTGGATGGAAGACCTTACGTTCTGTAGCAGTTATTATATAATCACTGAATTGTTTTTATCTATGCAATAATTACACTAAGACCACTGCCTTTATTATAACGCTAGCCATTATATAACTGTGCTTCAGGTTATAATAGATCATTTATTTATTTGCTCAGAAAAACAACCACTATAAAGCCAAATATAAACCAAGCAATAGAAAGGTCAGATTTTATAACTTGCTTGAAATTATATTCTTTGAAGGAGGAACAGAGAAAATTAACCAGGGAAATTGATTTTGAGTGTAATCACCACTGGATCACATGCTCACAAGGCAAGAACAGACAGTATCAAGCAATCCCCAAAATATCTTGTCAATTAACAGTGTTAGTTGACAAAAATAAAAAAGTATCTATTACCTATGAGTATATTACTCCCTTAACATGCTTACTACTGACCCTTACCCAGTGGTGGGATTCAAATAATTTAACAACCGGTTGTCTGCCCTAATGACCAGCTGGGTGGGTGTGGCTGGGTGGTCATGTGCCTGGATGGGCATGGCCAACTCCACGTCATTCATGTTGAGGGGCGCCTTGCCTTGTCCCACTTGCCTGGTCTCCTGAGCTCTTCTGCTCTTTGTCTGTTAATTTTTCTACTACTACAGTGTCTGGTTGATTATCTAATGCCTGTTTGTCCTTCTGGATCTGGAACTCCCAGAGATTCTTAGCTCTATTATTCTCCATGATCTTCTGTGGAAACTCCTTGATGATGGCTGGGGAATTCTGGGAATTAATGTCCATACATCTTTCAGCTGAGAAACACTGACCTATCCCTTGGGTTCTATCTAATGTGGTAAATCCCTGCTTCTATGGATCTGGTGTTTAGTACCTGTTCTTGTGCTCTTATGATCAGTGATCAGTGCTGCCTTTTACACACACACACACACACACACACACACACACACACACACACACACACCAGGGCAGGGGTCTGCAACAGTGGTGGGTTTTATTTTACTTCTGGTTTGTTCATGTGCACACTCGCACAATGCGTCTGTGCATGCGCAGAAGGTCGGGGCAGGTGGGCGGAGCCTCTCACCGCCGCCATTACTGGTTCACCCAATCCAGGATGAACAGGCAGAAACCCACCTCTGGTCTGCAACCTTAACACTCAAAGAGCCATTTGAACCAGTTTCCCACAGAAAAAAAAAAACACCAGGAGCCACAAACTCTTTTGACATCTAAAATGAACATAACACT